AGACCTACACTTAGCAAGTTCGGCAACCCAATGAGCTCGAGTATCGGCGGTCTTTGCCGCTTACCGGGCCTCCATCTGAGCAGCCTCAGCATCAGCCCGATATACAGTAATGGACTTATCCGCTAAGACTTTCGACGACTCAACCTCCACCTTAGCCTCAGCAAGTCGTGTTTCAAGCTCCTCGATCTTTTTAGCTTGAACCGACCCCTTTTGCTTGACACTTCGAAGTTGAACGTTGGCCGATAATAATTTTGTTAAGATGGTTTCTTTTTTCGCTGCCAGGTGGTCGAGGGTCTCCTTCCACCGATTGCATTCAGCTCGGATTTGATCGACTTCTTCTTGAAGTAACCCGATCTTTTCGATCTTTTGCTACAACTGAGACAACGAAGGGTTAACTTCCATGGTTGAGTCAGACCCATACTTTAACAGAATGAGGCTCACCTACTTATCGAGCTCGACCCCTTCTTCACGGACCTTAGCCAAATCCGCTTGGAGGTCCTTTATAGCCTCGTCCTTTTGGCTGCAAAGAAGCCGCAGGGCATCTCTCTTACCTGTGACCTTCCGAAGCTCGGCCTCACATTGGCTAAGATCGACTCGAAACCTACTAATGGCCTGCACAGTAAGAAACACGAGTCAAGTATGGAAAAGAACAAAGAAACCAAGTATGGAAGAGTCATTACCCGAGTAATGAAACGCTGAGCCTCCTCTAATAAAAGAGAAGCGTCACTAATATCGGAACCATCATCGACTCCAGTAAAACAATCCTTAAAAGGATCCCCTGCACCAGAGCCTACGCCGATATCGGGAGTCTTCAACTCTCGGGCTTTATTCAACACCTCCTCAGAAAAAGATGGAAGAGAAGGCGAATGACCCATTGCCATAGCCCCGAGCAAATCACTCGGAGTACTCCGGTCGAGACTCGGGTCTTCAGAAACAACCCCGATAGGCATAGCCTCTATCGGCTCAGGAGCTCTGGCAACCTCGATGGCCTCCGTAGATCGGACTACCAAAGCCAAGGAGCTATTTTCTTCTTCTTCTTCTCCCAGTCGTTGGACCGAGTCAATCGAAAGGGCAATTGATTTTCTCCTCACCCTTCGAGTTTTGGGCTTGGGGTCCTCTGACCGAGAGGAAGCTCTTCGCTTCTTATCTTCCCCCTATTTAGGGACTAGGGACTCGTTTCCTTCTTCACCGCTCGAAGGCCTCAAAATGGCATCCCTGGTTACGCCTGCATAAAAGAAAATCGGTAACGAATAGAACGCAAAGAATACTTCGAAGAAAACAAGAAGCAAACCTCACCATGGTTCTTGGCCTCCCATCTGCCTTTTGCCAAATCACGCCAAGCGCGCTCGGCGTAAGAGGAGGTCGAGGCTAACTTCCGAACCTAGTCCTCGAGGTCAGGCACCGCTTGTGGCATCCAAGGGGCAGCTGAACATTAGGGAAAGACATCAGAAAAAATCGGAAAAGGACATGAAAAGTGAACAAAAATCACTTACGGACAAAATTCCATTCTTCAAGGAACGACATCTTCTCCTCTGGAATGAGATCACGGGTCCTCACTCGAATATAACGACCCATCCAACCTCGATCCTTGTCTTCAT